CGAAGAGGTGCAATTGAGTGGCCCCCTCGGTCACCCGACTTAAATCCTTTAGATTTCTTTCTCTGGGGGCACATTAAAAGCAAAGTTTACAGCACTCCACCTGATACCTTGGAAGATCTGCGAGGACGAATCATTAATGTATGTCGCGAAGTAACACCGCAAGTGCTCCAGAATGTTCGACAACGGTTTGAAGACAACCTGTATCATTGTATGCAAGTTGGCGGACAACATTTTCAGCATTTACTTGACTAATACCGTAAGTTTTGAAGTAAAATTAAATCGATTTTCGCATTTCTCGTCAAAAATATTGTTCGTATTTTCAAAGCTGCATATTTTCTAAAATAATGAATCGATTTTCAAAAAGTAAGAATCGATGTATAGAGAATTAAAAGCCCTTTCTAATGACCCCCCACTTGACCCCCATTCCCATTTAAAAAAATTTGGGGGATGGCACCCCCACTTAGGGGGTTGAAGATTTTGCTATGCTTTTTGCGCCAAAAGTTGTCCCCCTCAGAAGCAAACTTTACCTGTTTTTGGATTTTGCCGAAAAGTTCATTACTACCCTGTAATGCCTTGCGGTACGTTTTCGATGGGCTACCCTGTATGTCAACACTGCTGTATGTGTGTGTGTGTTGTGTTGTATGTTTTACTATTATTATTATTTTTTTTCATAATGATTTTATACTATTAAGTACTACAATTCTTTTTGACGTGTGTAAACACTTTTTGTGTAAGTAACACTAATAAATATCTATCTATTTTTATATTTATACACTTATAATAGAATAGGCTGCGTGAAATCCACATCTTCATAGCCTTCTTTATAAAGGAAATGTTGATTCATTTTCATGTCTTGGGAAATGTAAATTTTCAATTTATGGTAAAAGAGTAAGATTTTAGAGAAAATTAAAAAAAATGTCATTGTGTAACAATTATTAACAAAGATGTGGAAAAAAGCTGGGCTATTGGTCTTCAGATGTTAAATACCTAAATGTTTTTTTTTTAATACTGGAGATGACTATATAATACCTTTAACGAGTTGTAAGTTTTTAAATAATACGAAAAATGACTCGGAGAGAATTTTTTAATTGATAATAAGCATTTTCAGTAATTAAAATCGCTAAAACTGTAAAAGAGTGGTAAATATTAATAATAACCAAAGTTGTTAAAACTTATTGAGAATCACTGGAATTATCTCCGACTTACATGCTACATAAAAGAAGGCCAATAAATGTGGCCGCAAATGGCGTGTCGTCGAATTTGTGTGTTAAAAGGTCATTTTCTCAGAACTCTCTTATTTTATGATAATTTTGCAAAAACAGGTTTTCACTTAAAATTCATTGTCGTCAAAAATGAAATTTAAAAGAAACTCATAGGCGTACAAATTCTATTAAAAAAAAACCACGCCACTGGTGGTTGTAATGAATCGTTTGTGGTTCATTTTTAAAGACATATCCAATTTGGCTTCGTTAATACTTATTGTTTTTTAAATACCACGGAAAGGGAACACCCTGTATTTTTTTAGATAGGTACATTAAAAACAACGCGAAACTGAAATTAAAGAATGATATTATACGCCGTTTTGTTTTTTTTTTATTTTCAAACCCTTACAATTTGCTTCCACTGTTATAAAAGAAAATTGTTTTAATAGTAATTTTTTCATTTAAGTATCTTTTTTTTAATATTAAGTTAATATGTACCAACGACAATTTTCGTTCTGTAGCTTTTCGATAATGTCGCATACATTCCTCATATATGGGCGTTCCTATTTATAGAATAATAAATGTTGTGGTACTAACGGGAGCAGTTGGAATTAAACTAATTGCATAAATTATCACTTCCTCGCGAGAGGCGTAACTTAAGTGCGTTTGATGGTATTTTTGAGATGTATCTGTTCAACGGCAAGGGCGTGGGCGCCGGATTCATAAATTACGAAACTGTTAATCAGCGCAACAACAAACGAAACTGCGATCGTGCCTACGGAAAAATCACTGCGAACCCTAGATAGCTAATATGAAATTCTGTTTTGGATGTATCATGATCTGGAAATAAGCGCTTCCTTGTTTTTATTCCATTAATTCCGAAAAAAAAAATTAAAGGAAACCTCAAACATGTTCTCAAATCTTCTAGAATCACAGCTTATCCAAACTTATATGGTCGCGAGATTGAGATAAAGGTCCGCATAAGAGGTGACAAAGATAGGAGACCTTAATAGAAGAGCATTTGCCTTCTGTCCAAAAAATTTACTTAGGTGTGGTAAATATAGTTGTTTAATGAAGGTATGTATTTAAATACAGGGTGAGTCACTTTTGATTTGGATAACTTCAGGAATCGATAGAACAGGTTAAAATAATGTTCATTCATGATATAAACTTATTTCCTAAACCGTACCATTTCGGAGATAGAGGGCGTTAACGTAGGAATTTTGTTCTCATTAGCACTAAAAATACTTTTGAAACACTGTCACGGATTTCGTTGAATATCTCAGAAAAAAGGCCAAATATAAAAAAAAACAGAAGACGAAAAAGTTTAAAAATTAATGAGACAAAAGTGGTGTGCAGCTGTTTTATTGAGAGTGGTAGGTGGTGCAAGATCATAAGGAGTGTTTGTGTTCCGAATTTCACCTCAATCGGATGAGTGGTTCAAAAGTTATGAGAGAAAAGCGGGAAAAAAATTCTATTTCAACGCCCTCTATCTCCGAAAGAATGCGATTTAGGAAATAAGTTTATATCATGAATGAACAATATTTTAACCTGTTCTATCGATTCCTGAGACTATCCACATTAAACCTGAATCACCCTGTATTTGAGCAAATTGCCTGAGCACGTCTAATGCTAACGAATTTGATCGAATTTTATTCTGCTAGATATTCAGGGTGTAATTTAATGTCGTAACACAATTGTTGCCTTATTATAATTGTACTCCTTACATTATAAGAATAATATTAATTAAATTAAAATTGATAACAGTATATTTGCATAATAGTATGAAATAAAAACTTATCATAGGTATGGTACGTAATAATAAGTATTAGCAAAAGTTTACAAAATAATAATTTCTTACTCATAAGGAAATTTCATTTCAAAAACGAAAATGACCGTTCAATATTTACCGAGGTCACAGGAGCATATCCAAAATAGTCGAAATTTTTAATAGATGCTATTTTTACCAATGATGTTGAAACAGCAAATACTTTTTATTAATCCTACGATCCGCATCATTTTATAATATCCACATGTCTGCCTCTGGTCTGAAGCTTCGCATCGATCAATTTATTCAATACGTATCTAGCGGCATTATAATGCCTGTTCTGCCGGCCTGACGTGCCGGTGAACAATCCAGGTTTTTTGCTGAGGTACGTTGGCCATGAATTTCATTGTTGTTTGTGTGTGTGTGTGAGTAAGTTTGACGCTTTGGTTGGTCGAGTGTATGGCAAGTATTTTTATGACAGTCAGTAGCAGTGTGTATTGTTAGCATAGAGCGGCACACAGCTTAACCACAGATTTAGCCTACTCGTACAACCGCTTACCAGCATAATACAGGTTGATTCCGAAAACAATTTTTTTAATGTCTAATACAGTTGTCCAGCTGTGTAATGGTTGAAAGCACTACAACTTCAATAATTTTTATCTCGGAAACTATAAGGATTTTACAAAATTTTTTTTACAATATTGACTCCATTTCTCATGCTGCATCTATTCCCAAATTTTTTTGAATAAGTTGTGAATCACCCTGTATATTAACACAGTAATAGGAGCTGCGGTACCGGAGGTGTTAAAGGCGCGACTCAAGAATTAGACCGCGTCGTATGGATTCCAAATGAAATCAAATATAAACATGTTTGATTCCTCAAATGCTTAATTTAATTTCCAATAGTAAACCCATATTTTTACAATGAAGGCTTAAAAACGGGATACCATTTTCTCCGTGTGTTTATGTCAAGTGTTACCTGGAATGAAGACACTGCAGGCAAGCAGTATCTTCGAAATTACAGGTTTATATTGTGGATTCGGTATTTTCGACTATGTCCTTTTATTTCGAATGAAAATTCGAAAAATCTGTTAACTTACATCCGCGTCTCCGTACCCAGCGTAACCACGATAATTTGAAACGAGGTATAAGTACCCTGAAATCCTGCGAACGCGATCTGCGTCAAGTGCAGATGAAGATCCTGGGCCGTGTTGGCTGCTAAGTGGTGGTAACAGTTCATCTAAAGTGGTATCAGTGACGTCAAGCCGGGTATAAGAAGTAAAGTCGACGAGGAAGCAGCATTTGTCGGTGCTTAGGACGACTCCTCGCCAGAACAGACTCATACCTCTTGGACTTCCTAGTGCATACAGTGTGTTCAGTTCAGTGTGTGACCTACTATTGGCCCAAGTGGTAAGTCTTTGCGCCGGAACCGGAACATAGGAATGTTGATTCGGAGAGATGTTCTGGTCGTCTCTGGCAGTTTTTGTGTCTTTTTCGGTGATCAGTGGATGAGTCCTTTGCGTTTCCGTATAGTGAAGACAGAGATTGAGTGGTACTGCTTCGATATTGTCGATGAAGTGTTTGAGAAATATAATAAATTGCTCCACCACGTATTTCGTTGAACGTAAAATGTCCAGTTAAGTCGTTGCGAGTAGCTTGAAGTAAATGTTTTAATAAATCAGGAAACAGTTATATGCAGATCGCATATATAGCTCGTTTCTGATATTGTGGACAGACTTGAAGTAATAGTATTCTCAAAATTTGTATTTAAGTACAAAAAAATGTTAAATTTTCAGTTTACTGTTTGTTAAAATTACATTTAAAGATGATTATCTCTTGGAAATTAATTTTAAATTCATATGTAAAATTTCAGTCATTAAACATGTTTTCGTCAAATCGGTTAGCTACTAAGTAAATCAAAAATAAGCATATAAATAAAAAAATATGATAATAAATATATTAGAAAAATGAATCATCAAGAGGATATGAGTAACACTGAAAATACAACTCAATTTTTTGAAAAAAATATGGGAGAAGTAACGATTAAATTCTACTGATCAGTAAAGACCTTAAATTTATTATTATTACCAGGAAAAAATAATATAAAACTATACTAAAATTTTTATCAAAATATAATTGACACCCGTCATTTGAAAATTATTTTAGTTTTTCATTGAGAGATCATTTTAAACATTAAAATGATTTGTCGATGAATTTTCTTAAATGATTCTACTGTTAACACCGTTTCTAAAGAAACGTCGATAGAAATTAATCAATGATAAATAATAATTCTTCCTGTAAAAAATTGAGATCCTTGAAAGGTTAAGTACCTAGAACTGATGTATTTCCAGTACACTTTTAACATTGTTATTGTTATAAGCGATTTATTGAAAATGTGTATTGTTTACAACATTCACCTTGACATTGTTCCTTGAAACTTGCTGAAACTAAATTGCACAGTTTATTTCTGAATCGACAATTAATTCGATTGATAGTCTTTCGAAAACAATGCGTTTTGTCTTTATGGATGTTAAGTACTAAGAAAAATTATAAGCACATTTTATACTTTTTTTTTTGTATAAATTTGTATTTTAATCTAAAATTTGAGAAATAGGGTCCTTACGTGATGCGGATTAAGGAAATGTCACAAGGTTTTCAATAAAAAAGTCCCTGAAGTAATTTGTACCTAATTGGTTAGGCAGGTACATCTAGAAGGCGACTACTTACGTGTAAAAAATGCATAATTGTCCTGGTTCTTAGTTGGACACACTGTAGAAGCAAACATCAAATAACTTGTTTATTTATTTCAATTTTAAGTTTTTTCAACATTTAATTCATTATTATTATTATTTCATTGTTCCAAAATATTTAGAAATTTTCAAAGCGGTTGAAACGTTTGTTTTCCTTTGTTTTTAATACAGTGAAAGTTTTAATTTGCTAAAAAATTAGTCATAACAGCAAGTAAGCCTTGACATATTACAAATAACGATTTGTATGTATAATTTTATTGTTGATTTTCAAATCACGAAGTGCAAACTTTTAATAAAAGCAGGTGCCGCACCTTTATGAATTGTATTTTTTTAGAAACAAAAAAATAAAACGCACTTAAACAAATTAATTTCATTATTTAAGATTGTTTCTTAATAAAACTGTTTGGCGTTATTTGGAATCACATTAGAAACTTTACTAAATTAATTTGACATGTCGAAAGCTCCTTAATTTCGTTTCAATTGCCGTTGATTTTCTTATTTGTAATATCGGATGGAATTATGAGTTCAAAGATCTCTGTTGTCTTATATCATATCTAATGGTATCAAGTAATGACTTGTACCAGCAATGCTTGCTAAAATATGTAAGCATGCATTCATAACTTAAAAACGTAGCCTTAAGATGTGTGTGGAGGTGGAAGGTGTCCATATTAAAAATGTATTTTGATCGTTTCCTTTCTTTTAAATTATTTTTTTAACTTTAACTTATTCTTGTTTAGTTTTTCTATTTTGTGTTATGTGTAACGTGTGTTTGTCAAATTCTATTAATGAAAATTACATTAGCAGACAGTAAGATTTTCTCGACTTTTATTTTAAAAATATGTATGCTTCCAACATAGTAATTAAGTGCAATTAAAAATTAAAAACAAAAAATGGTGGCTCGATGTGCACTGTGACATAAAATCACAAATATTTCCTAAACTATTAATTTTACCGAGCTGAACCATGCGGGTATTATCATTGGCAAATTCTTCAGGGAAGTTATTTTTGATACAGGCAGATTGCGATCGTCATCATGCAAAAATTCTATGAATTATTTGAAGAACTGATATTATTTTGATCTCATCTATTTGTATCAAGTGCCGGGACACCCTGTATAGGCACGTGCACTTCATACAGGTACCCATATACACATATTAATCTTTTACTTAACATTTTTTTCCCATTTCGTAATGTATATGCAACACACAGTCAAAGCTTTGTTGGTTATTATTATTGTTACTGACATAATATAATACCTTACTTGTACTAAAAGCGGGCAAGGTAATTTTCCTATTTGCAACGTTAGACACAAAATGGCGATGTAGCTTCTGCGTCTGCGTGTCAACTATGATTACTACGCGCTAAAAAATATCTAGCTACCGTAATAACATTTGCACTTCGATTCTTGTGGGTAAAAGTAAATTATTTTTAAAAGGCAGACCTCGACGAAAGTCAATTAACTAGTACAATAAGTTATCTAGTTATTTTTAGTGGAAAAAATAAAAAAAAAATGTACCTATTACTGTAAATAGGTACTCTTTTTCTAATAAACCAAGTAAAATCGTGTTAGTAAAATAATTTTTATTAAGCTTGGCATATGATATAGTAACATTAATAAGAAAAATTGCTATTATAATACAGATAATCTTAGGAAAACTAGGAAAATTTACTTATTGGTCGTTTTTTCTTGCACGTCTATTAATTTCGAGTCAGGAAAAACAAGATTCATGAGCTGGTTTAAAATTGGATGACTCCGTGACACAAGCTAGTTATCTTAGCTATCATGCATTTTTTTTATTTCCGGATATTTTGAGAGGTTAATTTTCCACTTTATTAAGACGGTGTATTTTTAAATCTTTTCATGCACATGCCCGTGATGACTGGTAGGAATTTTTTGCGCAAATTGGCTGACGAGTACAAGATTAAGCAAGGGAAGTGTGAAATTCTGCTACGAGTTTTGCTAATGTCATTAAAAATAATATACAAAATGTCAAGGGGCTTGCCACAGGTCTATTTTTGGTTCGAGGTTCTTCTAACGCTAAAGGATATTAAATTTTAAAAAATGAGTAATTTTATTTATATAAATAGATTTTCTAGGCTACAGAAATTAAATTGAAGAAGTGCACAGTAGATATAGCTGATTTAAGTTGCTCGGATATTATACAGGGTGTCCTAAATTGAATAGAATTCCTTAAATTATGTAAAAAAGTTTGTTTAAACGTGGGTGAGAAGTATTCAGTTTGCGAGATACAGAGTGTTTAAGTTTATATTCCCGAAATGCTTTTTTAAATCATCAAAATTTTTAAATAAACAAATGAAAATTTAAACAAGTGTTTCGCTTTTTGTCCTTTATGAGTCAAAATCATCAACCAGAATGACTCAATCAGGAGAAGTCTAGGTAAAATTATGTCCCATACTTTGAAATATTGTATAAAATTACTTATTTGCTGCACTGTGTTAGTTTTTCTCTATTTATTTCGTTATATGTCTCCTGTGAAGAAAATAATAAAAAAGTAAATAATAGAATAAACATCAATGATATGTCTAGCTATGTAACTAGACTAGCAAACTGTCTACAACAGATAAACTTTTTTCGAAATGTTAACAGCTTGTTGAAGTATGTATTGAGTACTTATTATTTGTCCGCATTCTTCAGTGTAATTTTTGGTTAGGCAAAACTAGTTTTATAAAAATACCCCCTGACTAATCATTTTGGCGCAAAGATCCGTTTCTCTGTTTTTTATTTTATTTTTTCACGTGGCAAATAAATAGAAAAAAAAAATCAGTTCTCATATTTTTTCGTCCACGTTTCCGTTCTGTCATTTCTGATTTCTCTCATTGCACTCCTCTTTTTTTATACACCCATCGCAGTATATTATCAAACGCGTTGCATACTGCACCGCAATGCAGTTCCCAGAATAGCGCGTAAAAGGATACATCTCGAAGTCTGTTTTACTTATCTCATACGCGGCTAATAATAAATTTCTCGCAGATGCACATAGCTCCTATCCCTGCCGCTGGAAAATCCAGACTTTCCTTTGTGCACAGCTGGAATTTGCTCGATGGGCGAGATATTTTGGGAGGTTTAGCGAACGGACATTATACAGGGTGATTTGCTTGAAGATGCTCGCCATGAAGTTGGTTAAGTTACAAAAAAGTTGCGCAATGATGATCAACTTTAGTGATGCCTTCAGTTGTTTGTGACATTTGCAGGCCAATAGACGAATGGAATTTTGTGAAAACTTTAGATTTTCAGATATTACATAAATTGTGTCGACTGTTTTTTTTCTAAATCTTCTGAATTCTGTGTTTTCCACGTGTTCAATTTTGTAGGCATATTTGAAAATTTTTAATCACTGAACAAAAACATAATTTTATCTAAAAAAAAGTAAACTGCGAAAGCTAATAATAATATATATATTTTAAAAAATCAGTAAATCTAATAGCACCAGATGATGCAGGAGATTAATTTATAATAATACCTGAAAATTTAGAATTTCTAATAGACTCAGCAAAAAATAAGGGAGCAGAAAATTTTCCAATTTTTTAGTGATTTTTGAAAGCCTTTAATTTTTTATAAAACTTTGATGATGCAGGAAAGAAAAACTATAAATATTGGTACTTTTGGCAATATTCTCGAAGTAGTCGCTGATTTTCCAAAACAGCAGAAAAAATTCATTTTTTGCACTTTTTCAAATTAATACTAAGTACCTAGGTATAATTTTTTTTTCCTGAAACATACCAAAAGACTTGAAAAGAATTTATTCAAGTTTCCAAAACCCCCTGTTCGCTGTACGATCATTATAGTTCATGAGATATCGATGATCAAAAAAACAAAATGACTTTTAACTCAATAGCCGATATAATGAGAAAATAAAAAAACAAATTGAAACTAAAGAATCAAGCTAAATGACTGTGGCATTAATTATGGCAAAAAAATTCCTCTGATCCCATCATGGATAGTTTTGAACATTTTTTTTTAAATTTTTGCCTTGCATTATTTCTTTTGATTGCGTCGAGAGTGATGGTCAAAAAAAATTTTTATCAAGATTTCAAAACTAGAATCCTCAAGCTTCAAAATACTCCTTTTTTTTTCTCTATATGATCATTATTCACGAAGTTACAGCCTTCAAAAATCACTAAAAAAATTTGAAAAATTTTCTCTTCCCTTAATTTTTTTACTGAGTATAATTACGTCTATTACGGATTATTTAAAAAAGAAAAAGATTGGAGTCCAGTGATTTAGATCAAGAATTTTTTCATAGTCACATTTTTTTAAGCTAGCCAGAAATTTTAAGCTTTTTTATGCAAAATTAAGTTGCTGAAAAAATTTATGAGAAAAAGAAAATTGAATTCAATTTTCTCACATCAGCGAATTAATAACATCTCAGAAATATTATATTGTAATCTTTTTTACTCCAACATTTAAAATTTTCAAGTTTTGTGGTTACTACGATGAAACTATCAAAAGTATTTTCGTCAGGCTCTACTTTTTATCAAAATGAAATTTTCTGAAAAATCTACAGAAAAATTAGCAATGGGGCAAACTTAACTTTTAACTTGAACACATCTTATTTGTGATGTGGGACTTAGGATTGACTTATCTTGGTAAACCTTCTAACTAGTATTTAATCCAAAATTAAAAAAAAAATTGAAATATCTCATCCAAAAGAAGAATGGTCAAAGATATCTCGCATCAACTGCAATATATATTATTCCGCCCTATATACAGAGTTAGTTTTGATATTATAATTTTGGTATAACGATAACACATTGTGTTGTTAGAGGTATAGTCTTTCCGAAGTCAGTTGAACATGTATAAAAACGCCTAACAATAAAATTTTATGAGTTTCATAGGCGTCCCCAAAAAAGTTTTCTACTAAAGGTAAAAAATTATAATAATTTTTATATAATGTGTAGAAAATTTCTGTTATATGTTCATTTGGCCAACAACACATTTTAATTATTTATGTCCTCAAACAATTTTTTTATATTGATGGTAAATTTCGTTTTGTTCCCTTTCAAAAGGTCTCCAAAATGCCATATTGTAATAATATTAGTAAACAAAATATTCCTCTTATTTCTCCCTTTCGCAATTATTGTAATATGAATGATTAACAGAAGGTGCCTATAATAAATTAAAATTACCTGAATCACACCAAATTCCGCATTGCTGCACTGCACTGCTAGGCAGCCACTTGCCAACAGCCCAGATTTATTGCCCAGTCGCCCAGTTCGACAGGTATAAAAAATATGAATAAATTGTTAATTAATGAATTACTAGCTAATTACTAGATATTGGTGGTGTAATTCAATGCTAGTTTAAGCATGTACCCCATAGAGTTGTTTTCTGTGGTTAGGATTCTTGTCTGTGTGGTTATTTATCTTTTGCCTACCTGGATTTTTGGAATAAAAAAAACACTGAATTTGATAGAATTTTTTTAGAAATTTTTAAAAATTTATTTTAATTAGCTTATTACTTAAAACCTATTAGTACCTACACAAGTAATTTTTAACCTTAGTATATCAATGATTACAGTAAAGCAGTATCAATTCTTCGGAATTGTTACAGTTTCAAAGATTTCCATGGTGAGCTTCCTTACACGAATCACCCTGTGTATTGATTGGCCCAATGAGAGTCACAATCTATTAGTTAATAAATATGTAATGAAATTCACACTACGGTTATACAAAAATTCGAGCATGCTTTTAAGATGTAATTTTAATGAAAAAGAATTCTATTAGCGATCAAATTTTAATTTTTCCAAAGGCCACACAACTCTGTTAAGGATGGAGGGTGTACAGGTTAATTTTTTAAATAAGTGCTTGCCATTCAATGAAGTCGTTGAAAAAAATTTAATAAGTACCTCGTATAGTCTAGTTCTAGTAAGCGTTAGCAAAATCGTACCGGATGTTGTACCGTAACGAAATTCCGTAATCTATTAATGCAGTAGTTGCTTAACTGTATATTGCACGTAAGGCATCTACACTACAGTCATAATAACAATTAGGCTTAGAAGTGGTAGATAGTACATGTGGATTTATTTTATGTCTATTATAAATTTTTGTCGTTGTTGATATCGGGGAAGCGTAGAAAAAATTAAGTCGAGAGTGCTCTAAATTCCTCTCAAATTAGTTTAAATTAAAATCCGTTTTACATTGTTCAAGAATTGTTACAATTTGCTATATCTGAAGCACCTTTTTACACATTACAGCAAAATTGTAGGTCACCAACATTTGGAATAAAAATCAATCAAATAACAGCAAACCACAAGCTATAATAACTTATTCCAAACTAACGTAACTGCAGCAATAAATACATAATTAAATTTAGTGACTAAATATTTAAAATAAAAACAAGTATCAATATTGTAGAACGTAGCTAAGAGAATAACTATTGTCACTGAATATCTCTTCTGTTTATTGGACTTTAAATGCTGAAGTGCAACTATTTAAAAAGAAGTGCAATATGTTTATACACCGACGTGTAAACACATTTGGGCCCGTCTTACCCGGTTTCTACGAACTAACACAAATGTTGTCTTGTTTCACCATAAATTAAAACGATATCTATCAACTCCGAGTTGCTATACATGTAAGCCATTTTTGGCACTTGAAAAACTGATGTAAACACTATCAACACTATCGTAAAAACGGGAGCGCCTGAGGCCACGTGAGCGAATGACGCTAAAGGCCCATTATCAATATTTTATTAAGGCAAGTTGGCTCAAATCGTAATATTTTCAAGTCACAAATCTACCATACTTCTATGTACAATTACTTAAGGACCACCCTGTATAATTAACATTCACTGTTTCCTCTAAATTTCAAATTTCCAGTGTGTCTCTCATGGGAAATGTTTGAACAAAAATCTATGTCATCATGTAGAATTGAAAAAGTTTGTCGATTGCTTCGACACTTGGAGAAAATTATACTCTTCTTCAAAATCTATGCTCTAGTAGACATCTACCTCTCACGATATAATGGTAACACAATTATCTTACTCTAGATCTGAGTCAACGTCCATTAGCTATGTAGGAATTATAATAACCACTCTTCCAGTTCATAGGAAGTCCATAATGATCCACAACGAAGATAAATTATCCAGATATCCTTTTGCTAATTCTCTGCGATGAACAATTAGGCGTACATTAATGAACATCTCGCACAGACATGTTATGATTACCGTTAATAAGCTCTTTCAATAACTTGCAGATACACGACAGCGGATTTAAATGCACTTATACAGTTAATTTGCAGTAATGCAACATTAGTTAACTTTTCTTTATTTATATTTACAGCAAAAAAAATTATCATGTACGTTATTTTGGATAGTTTACGCGTGTTGTAGAAAATATGTTAAATTTGGAAACATTGGCGGTCATTCAAAGGTCTTTCCAACCAAAGAACACTACTATGTCATACAACTAGAGTAAAATGATTTACCTACTTTATCCAAATGTATATTGTAAGCAAAATGTTCTGCTTTATTGCTTCAAATAGTACGTGTAGCATCTGTCGCGTAGTAAGAAAAATGCACAGATGTTAACTACATACATATGTTTGCGCTGATATAACGGTGAATACCACGGAGTGTTTGTCAATTCAACAACGGTTGTGGGCTAGCGTTTTATGAATTAAGTCAAAATTTGACCTACTATTCCCAAAAAAACATTCGTTTGTTTACAAAATCGACAGCAGTATCACTCAAAGATAAGTATATGAACTGGAACTGAGTACAATTCAGTTTGAACTGTGTAACGACAGGGAATGTTTTTTAGAACGAAAATGAGGCTGTACTTTGTGGGGGCAGTGTTATGCATTGTCTTGCTGCAATGCAGAGCGAATCCCATCATAACCATAACAGCGGACCACGATAGTCGCTCTCTAGAACCTCAAACGCAAATACAGAAAGAAGGGGAGATACAAGAAGAGACACAAGGCGTTTTTAAAAGTGAAGAAACTAAACAACAGACTCCTGAGAAGCCTCTGGAAGATAACATTGCTGAAGCTACGTCAGACGAATTAAAAAAAACTGAAGTCGTAGAAGTCTCTAAAGAGGAAAAGAAGGAAGAAACGTTGAAAACAGAAGAAAACGCTGTTAGCGAAGTAAAGAGGAAAGATAGGAAACTAAAGGTAGAGCTTTGTTTAGTTGTCTTTTGGATTTTATTAGTGAATGTGGTTCCTTTTTTTTTAGAACAAAGGACGGCAGTCTGAGGATGACGATGATGATGACGACGACGATGACGATGATGATCTGGATCTTGGTTTTGATGACGATGACGACGACGACGACGATGATGACGATGATGATAGTCCTGCTGCTGACGACGACGACGATGACGACGACGACGATGATGATTACTTTGACAGGATTTTCGATGATATTTTGGGAGGTCAGTATCAAAATAATTCAGTTTTTGACACAGTCAAGCCTAAGATTTAATTTTCAATTTAATGTACATCCTTCCATATACAGTGGGTGTCAAAATTATTATATGTAGTATTTTAATATCATTTACTGAACGCAAAACCATGCTTAGTTATTTAATGTTTCGAGTGTAAAAAGTCACTGTTATCGTTATTTAAAAAAAAAACTTGCTATTTTAGAAGACTTAAACGCGGTTTCTTAACCCTCAAAGGTCACAATTGGGGTGGGTCACCTTAAAGGTCACACTAGTGCGAATTGGGATTTTGCCAACTTTATTTTCTTTATTTGTTAACGAAAATAGCGTATTTATATCAAAATTGGGTTAAAATTTTCCGAGAAACCGAATGATATAATTAAAAAAGTAGAAAAAAGGATTTTGAAGTTCAATGTCCATATTTTTAAGAAAAAAATACCTAATTGAAATAAACAATATTGGGCTATTTGACACGCAAAATGAGGTGAAAAAAAAACCGGAAATCCGGTTTATTTTTTGATTATATGAAATAAATTCACCCACACTTTTGCCCACACTAAAGTCACACTAGTGCGAATTCGCACCGATCGAACTATCTAGTTTAGCCGACTGAGGACAGCTCGACTGTTTGGGCTATAGAAGGGATTATGGTGGTGGGGGAACTCTTGGCAGCTGCTACCTGAGAAATGCCAGCTGTTTAAAAAAAAAAGTGGTGCGAATTCGCATTAGTGTGACTTTTGAGGGTTTTAATCATCTAAAAAAAATGTAGTAATACAAAAACAAAAAACAAATGTTGAGTTGAGTACTCTTTCGGTGTGATTTACCGTTTTTCGTTTTTTTAATTAACGTGCTAATCTTCTGCCTTATTTAATACAATATTTCAAATAGAAAAATGATAATTTCGAACTTTAAAAGTTTTCAATTACGCAAATTTTTATAGATTATAGATTAAACATAATAAAGACAAATGCAAAATTTAATATTTTTTTTCGATTTTATTAAGATATTCTGTTCTATATTTCTTATACGAAATAATCGGGGATTTTTATATACAGTGTGTCCCGTTTTTCAGGTTAACTCCTCTGAAAATGTGAGAAGGCTATGGACTTTCCTCAAGCCAATTTTTTTTACAAATAGTACCCTGAAGGGAGGTTATATTCTACTAATCACTTTATTGATGTAACAAAAGCCTGGCCTACTACGATTTTTTAAAAGGGTCGTTTTTCCAGAAAGCGGTATTAGGCATTTTTTTATCAAAAAGATAATATTACCGGGCTATTCAACACCCATCAAAATACCAACATACCAAATTTGAACAACAAATGTCTATTGAGTTTTTTTTATGTGGTGCCACACTTCGAAAAATCAGACAACTAAAAATTATAATAAGCTGGTCAAAGATTGCCATGAAAGTGAAAACAAGTGCCAGTCGGACAAAAAAAAAACGTACAAAAAATGTAGGTAAGGAATTATAAATATTAAATTATTAAACAAAAATTGCAAAACAATCTAAATTAAATTTTAGTTTTCTCGAACTATGGATTTTTACTTTTGGGGTTTTATAAAACAGAAAGTTTATAAAAACAGACCAAGGAATTTGGATGACCTAATGAATTATTGCATAAGATAAGCTTGTTCAGAGATTACTCCACAACGGCTATGTAAATTATTTTTAAATTTAAGAAGAGAATTGGAAAAATATGTTAAGTTATTATTTTTATAATTAATTAATAATAATGAATTAATATAATTAAAAGTATTAAATTTATAGTGCCTGTATTCTTTCTTTGTTCGATTGGTATTTGTTTTCATGGCAATCTTTGACCTGCTTATTATAATTTTTAGTTCTGATTTTTCGAAGTTTGGCACCACATAAAAAAACAGTATAGACATTTGTCGTTCAAATTTGGTATACAGGTTCGGAAAGTACCGATGGTCCATCTGCCGTTACGTGAGAGCGATAAAGTAAGACATAGAAATCCATGTGATAGACAAGGATGGGTATAGTGAAGGCGTCTAATAGTCACCGCCCATTTCGCCCTTCCACAAATAAGATCCACTTCTTAATTGTAGAAGGGCGAAATGGGCGGTGACTATTAGACGCCTTCATTATAGCCATCTTTCTCTATCGCACGGATTTCTATGACTTACTTTATCGCTCTCACGTAACGACAGATGGACCATCGGTACTTTCCGACCCTGTATGAGTATTTTAATGGGTGTTGAATAGCCTGGTAATATTATCTTTTAATAAAAAAATGCCTAATACTACGTTCTGGAAACACGCCTTTTAAAAAATCGTAGCAGGCCACGCTTTTGTCACATCATCACTATCATCAATAAAATGATTAGTAGAGTATAACCTCTTATCAGGGCACTATTTGTAAAAAAATTGGCTTGCGGAAAGTCCATAGTCTTCTCACATTTCCAGAGGTGTTAACCTGAAAAACGGGACACACTGTATATCTTTTTATTTATTAAAATATGGATGCCTAATGCCAAAATATTAGAAATAGTTATAAAAATGAGGGAATAAATTTTTTGTCAAAGAAATCATAAATTCTATGACTTTTTTGTATAATTGACATCATGAAAGTTAAGGAATAATCCCTCTTAAATGGGACATAATGTATAAATTTTTAAGTTTAATTAAATTTTTAATAACCACAGGTATCTTGATAAATAAAATATTATATATTTTTTGAAATTTCTACACTTCGTACTGATAATCTCAATTTTTTTACAATTTTTCGCCATCCTTTGTAATTCACGTTCAAAATAAAGGCTAACTTACAGGGTGGCAATGATAAGTGTGACCAAACTTCACTGACACATACTGATTATGTAAAAGTTTTCAATTTCACATTTCCCTAGGAGTTATAGGGTGTTAAAGGTTTTGCAACTAACTATTCTAACTATTTCTAACTATATTTTCATAAAGTAGCAAATAAGATAGATAAGATTGTTGTGTTTATTTTAAAAATACGATAATTTTATGACACTCCTGAAAACTTAAACATTTTATAATCTCAATTGCAAAATAGTCTACATTGAAAAAATAATATCTATCATTTTTTTACACAATTAATTTTAGAAATTAACTTATAAGGAAAAATTTAAAAACATACTAAAGCTTTTAACTGTAACTACCTAGGAAATCATGTAATTTAAAATTTTTATGTTATAACCTCCAAAGATTCTACACGGAAAAAAATGTATATTGAAAATTTAACAACTGAATCATTGGTAACTGTATTTATACAGAAAATGGGACTAATTATAATTTGTGTCACACGTTACCAAATTGAAAAATGATGTATTTAACTTTATTGCAATTTTGTTAAATATATTCATTTTCTATTTTGCAACAGGTTACACATAATTGTAACAGTAAAATGTCAAAATTTCTTAGATTTTCAGTGACAATTGCTAATATTGCAGCTTTTGTTACCACATTGTTGTTTAAATTTTGTAAAATACTTCAGAAGTAGCTTTTTTCTTACTTCATTACCGTAAAAATCTTGATCTTTTTGTTGTTCAAGCTTTTTATAAACTTTTACAAATTTTCTAGAATTTGTTTTGGATACCGAAAAAAATATATGTCATAAATTATCACACATAAACTTGAAACAATCGAATACAATAATTCTTTACAAGACATTTTTTTCCATCACTGAAATTTGGCCAAACATTTATCATTAACATCTCGTTTTTGGAACGAATAGTAGGTAAACATCGAATTGAAATTTCCAGGTGGAGATGACGACGACGACGACGATGACGACGACGACGAAGAGGACGACGAAGAACCCGCCCCCGTCACCGGTACCCAAACCGCCTCAGCCGAAGTCCCTCAAGCACCCGTAGAACCGGCACTGGCGGCATCGGAGCTTAGCCCCAGCGAAGAACTCGACGCCCAAGAAGCCGAAGCCGGGGAAGACGAGCAAGGTGCTGGCACTGACAATGAGACAGTCGGGGCCGACGGGAATTTTATCGAGAAAGACCCAGTGGCAGACGCTTCCGAGACTGTAGAAAACACTGTAGAACCCGTGGTGGTCCAGCCCGTTCCGGCCAACGACGAACCCGCTGACGACGACGAAGATGACGATGACGACGACGACGACGACGATGACGATGACGGGCTGGGCGGTTTGTCTGACGACGACGACGACGACGACGATGACGACGACGATGAGGATGTCGATGACGACGAGGACGAGAGCGATATAGCCGACGTTCTCACTGCTAGGAGATCACGTGAGTCCAAAAGTTTAAAGCATAGTAAGAAATCCAAAAAAGCTAGGAAACACAACCAACACAAAGCTGATCGTAAAGTGAGATAGGTGTAGTGTAGTGTAGAGACTTTTTTCGCTTCGCTCTGTAAAAAGGACTTGTTAGTCGCCGGAATGTTTAGTTTTTTTGGAATTAGTGCCAGTCATTTGATGGAAAACCTTGTGTAAAATACACTTACTAGCTTCCAGAATTGCTTCTTAGTACCTTCTGTATCATAGACCACTTTACATATCGAAAACTAAGCACTTTGGCATTTGGCAATAGGACGAAATCAGGTTAGCCAGTAGTCTAGATCTTTTCTATTTATTTCCTTATTGTATTCTATTATTTATAGATTATTTATTTATTTAAATCGATGCTTATTGCATTAATCTAGGTACATGTCACACGTTTCGTGACTACCCCTGAAAATTTTCAATCGAGAGATCTGTTTTTTTTTTATTGTATGAACTTTTTGTACAAATTATAAATTAAATAGATTGTATCCTGACAGCCATTGTGTTTTATTTTTATGCTCGTTCTCACCCAAAATGTCTTTAACATTATGTGACATTTATCTAGCTAATGCATTGCCACTAACAGCACGCTTTAGGCTCGCTTCACACTTTCCCACGGCTCTTTGGCTCTTTCGCCAATAGGTTAGTAGGTAAGTAAGCGCGGGGTGGAGGGTAATGCGGTGTTCTCGACTCGCGGAAATCCTAACCTACAAATACGTAATTGTAGCGCGCGAAATATGACCCACATAGGCGAGAACGAATTTTTAATTGCCGACGATTCGTAGTTGTTTTATCATCGCACTTGTTTATGCGTTGATTTTTCTTTGCAGTACTAAATTTTTGGCATTCAAAAGTATAAAAATAGGCATATTATTTTAAGGATTCTATAAATTGCATTATTTTTTAAATGTAATACAACAAGTTTTTTATATTTGGAATAACCATATAGAAAAAGTCTAATTAGTTTTTTATATTCTAATCGCTTATAAAAGTGAATACTTTTCTTTTTCTAATAATACTTTCTCTTTTGCTAATAATCGCGAGCTTGAAAAAGATACTAATTAAACTATGCTAAACCTATGTGTATTAATTGTTCATTTTAATTTTTCATGTTTTCTCAGTGTACAAAGTGAGAAATTCTCACTTTTAGGAAATTTTTTGTGCTCCCAGAGGAGATCGACTAGACATAATTGAGATGCCTCTGTCTTTTCGAGAAGCTTGAACTCGATATCTCGATTCTTTTAAGAGACACAGGGTGTTTAATCATTTTTGGCCTTTTGTTGTGATGTCGAATAACTTCAAAAGCAAAATCCTTTTTTTTAATTCATATTCTTTATTCAGTTTCTCTGCGTAGAATCCAGTGGTGTACGCGATGTTTTTCTGTAACTTAACTTAACAGTAATCCAAATTTATTATTATTTTTTAAAGGAACGTTTTACATAATTTCCGATTTTTGAAATTTGAGGGAAATTCTCCTAAATAATGCAACGTACTGGCACAAAGTATACAGGGTGTTAATATTATATTCCTCCAAACTTTAATTGTCGATTCTACGTTACAAATCGATAATAATAAATTTGTGTATTCGGAAACGCTTCGATTTCGAGATACTGGGTGTTCAAATTAAAGAAATATGTCACATTTATTTAAAGATTTCTTAAAATGCTTGGCGTAGATTGTTGAAACTTGAGCCAATGGCGTAACTGGGATTATGTGCAAAAAGTTGTACTTATATCTGCCAATCAGTGGCGGAAATACTAGGAAACACTGTCATTAAGAATCATCTAATTTCGATGCTACTGAATATTTTTGAAATTGAATAAATACGTTTAAATTCGGTTGACATTTATAAGAAAAAATACAGGGTGATTCAAAACTTATCCAAAAAAAAATTTTGATTGTACAGGGGACACCTACAAATACAATTTTGTAAAAAAAATTGAAAGGGGCAGTTCGAAATGATTTAAAAATACATTTCGACACGGTACTGGAAACTGGTCCACTGTAAAACCTGACCTTGCTCAAGTCAAAGGATGCAGTCGGCGACCGGCACGGCGGCAAAATGCAATACAAAATGAACGGACAAAAGATTGAAAGAATGTCTTTCCCAACGAAAGAAATACATAAATAAAATTTTATAACATCTACATATTTTATATCAGCAAATTCAACTGCTTTTGCCGTTATTGTTATTATTAATTAATAAAATTAATTTATGGTTTTAATTAATAAAATAATTTGACATAGGTATCTGATGTTTCAATAACTGTCAAAAATTTTGCCCACCGACGTATAAAGACATTTGGGCCCGTCGTACCCAGATTCTACGAACTAACACAAATGTTGTCTTACTTCACCATAACACAAATATTGTCTTGCTTCATCATAAATGAAGACGATATCCATCAACCCAAGTTGACACTTGAGCCATTGAGCTTGACACGTGAGCCATTTTTGACACTTGAAAAACTAATGTAAACACTATCGAAAAAAAAAACATAACACTAAAATCGGATTTCAGTATTCGGAATCGTCTGGCCACGTGTAGGAAGAGTAGCCCAGCAATATAGGGGTTGAAAATACTACAACTTCAATATTTTTTTCCCGGAAACTAAGGATTTTACAAAAAATAATTTTTTTACGACATTGACTCCATTTTCCATGTCCCATCTATTTTCGGACAAGTTGTGAATCACCCAGTTATCTTTCATTTAATTCGAATAAAGAGCCATCGGAGTTACTTTCGATTTATTCAAATATGCCGTGTGCTTATTTTTTAAATTTAAAATATAGAAATAACTCATTTTTCGATAGAAATTAAACATATCGTTTTTCTAAGAAATACCAACCGAAATGAAATGTACTTATTCAATTTCCAAAATATTCATACAATAGCGCAGAAATGTTCGGATTCTTAATGGCGATGATTCTCAATATATCTGCTACTGGTTGAGAAATTTCTGTAACAACTAAGTAAATTTTTGCCCACCATAACTCAAATCATTCGTCCAATTTTCGTTAATCTATGTCAAACATCTTAAGAGATATTTAAATAAATGTGATTTTTTTTTTTAATTTTCAACTTTGGTACGAAGTGTTTTTGGACACAAGTTTGCAGGATTTTTTTTTTAATTTATGATGTAAAATCGCAGAGCATTAACATCCTGAAGACATAAAACATGATTTTATCATAATTCAATTGTTCAATTAATACAATTAAGTGTGCCTTGATTTTTTTTACATTTTTATATAATATGGCATATTTATTTGTATTACGCAAAAATGCTGAACAAAAAAGACTGAAAAATTTACAAAAATATTGACGAAAAATAAAGTTACACTCACATCTCGAAAAAATAAACATTTGACCTATTTTTTGTCTATCTTCTCGGAAAATACGAAAAACTTCCCAAAAGTGTCAATGTTGGCTCAATTTGTGAACCAAATTCTGTGGGATTTGGGAATATTTCATTCCGTGTGATCACCGTGCAAACAGAGTGACTCAAAACTGTTGGTTGCCCACCATTGCAGGAACATGGAAAAAACAAATAGAAAACCGCAAGCGGAAATTTTGTCTCATGATAATATAAGTATTATACAGGGTGTTCCTAAATAAGTGTCGCAACGGAAAACTGTTGAAAAGAGAAACATATTTTTCCTCTTCCATTTTTCTCTCCGGGCTTTCGTTTTCAAGATACACGGTGTCAAAACTTTTTTTCAGATTTTTGCCAATATCTTAGGAACCGTATGAACTACAGGACTGAGCTTTTGTACACACATTACCACTATTAATAGCTACTTGTTGCAAATGTTGTTAAATTTCGTTAAAATTGTTAATTATTACTATCTATCTTTTGAATTACATAAGATTTTCGAAACGTTAGCAAAATTTTCGTTTTTGTTTATAAAGTCATTTTTCTTGAAAACGGTTGACTTTAGAGCAATGAACCAAGAGAACTCTTTTTGTGTAAAATTCACTGGCGCTTCAGAATTTGCTGTCAAACGTCAATTTTTCCAGTGGCGCAAAAATTAGGGGGAAAACCCTTATGATACCTTAAAATCTCCACCACTGGCACGTTCAATAACGCTTGTACAAAAACTCAGTCCTGTAGTTCAAACAGTTCCTAAGATATTGTCAAAAAAATTTTTTAAAATGAAAGTTTTGACACCGCGTATCTCGAAAACGAAAGCCCGATGAGAAAAATGGAAGAGGAGAAGAATGTTTCGTTTTTCAATAGGAATTTACAGTTTTCCGTTGCGACACTTATTTAGGAACACCCTGTATATTTTGGTAAGTTTGCCGCTATAAGGACTGTGACACCATCGAAATTATTTTTCAAAATTTCACACATGTTCTTATTTTTCTCAATAGTTTTTATTAAAAAAGTTTCTCGATATCGATTCCCGTTCAAAAGACATAAAATACAGAGAAAAGCACAGGTTCCATCAAGTCTGTTACTGATTTTATCAGCATTATCGTGGAGAACAAGATACTTTCAATGCTCACCATTTAAACATAAAAAATATCTTGTTTCCTACGGCGAAATTATTTCCGTTTTCCTGTAATGGCGCCCAACCATTTATTCTAGTTCACTCTGTATACTGTCTTCTACTTAAGAAACACCTTGAGAAAATTTTCGCTGCGTTTCAATTCTATTTTTAGTAACCGAGATACAGGATTTATTTAGTCAAAATTGCTATTTTCTCAAAAAATCCCAAAACCCATCCAATTTGGTCCACCCTGTGCATTATGCTTAAACGTAATTTATAAATCCATAAACATTCTTTAAATATTGAAGCAAAGATACAGCAGATAGATTTGCAAGTGTGACACTTTAAAGCTTCGTAAAAAAAAATCGATGTTCAGAATCGTAGTTCAAAATGTATTTTGGTGATCATCATTTTGGTACATCCTCACAGTAGTTTTGGCTTAACAGCATGACATTCGACTGCATCTTTGACAGACATTTAACTCGACTAAATTGGGTATTT